CTTGGGTTGGCCCCATAATACTTTGCTTCCAGGTACCATGTTTCATCAGTGACAAGTTATGCTGTATTGGTTGTGGTAGCGACTATACTTAGAACGTAAACAGTACGTCATATCTGATAGCTATAAACATTACTTCGTGGTCCTATATTTTAGGCCTATATACTCATCTGCAACACATACAACATGAATAGAAACATACAACAATACGAGAAATGCAAGTAGCAGTAGAGATACTTGGGTGACTTTGTACCCGTACTACAGTAAAGGAGACGTATGAAGACCTAGAGGCTGGGTCGTAAGACCACTGAGTTTCAACGGATCGAATGTGAGTGGCTGTTTTTTTTTTTCTAGTGGGTTGGGACTAAGTCCCTTGTACTGCGGCCACTTCTGGCCTATTGTACCAGCCCCAGATGATAGGTGAGTGTGATTGTGGAGCAATTGGTGGAATGAAGATTGGCAGGGGAAACCAAAGTACTCGGAGAAAACCTGCCCCAGCGCCACTTTGTCAACCACAAATCCCACTTGACCCGACCCGGGATCGAGGCCGCCGCGGTGGGAAGCCAGCGACTAACCGCTTGAGCTATGGCGCGGCCGACTGGCTGGGGTTAGTTTACAGTGATACATGTACGTAGTGGATGCAGCGCAGGAGGGAGACTAACGAGACGCAGTGAACCGAGCTCTCATGTTCGGGGGGTGGTGGTTCGAATCTCGGCAAGGAGACCAACCATCCAACCATGCGATGCCACTTGGCTAGTCGATCGTCTCTCGCGTTTCGACTTCAGAATATTACTTCCGATGACGAACATTTCCTTCAAAATCCTTTGTAATTCATCAAGGTTCCCGCCATTCGACGCTACGTAGTGTAGGTCAGTGGTTCTTAACAATGTGGTGCTCGAGTCACGCTTTGGGTTTTCATGGTTTTCTTTTGCGTCACACTAGAATTATAACAGTGTATTTAAGTTCATAATAAACGTACACGTGTTGTTTAATTTTCATCTGATATACGATAATATACAAAATAAAAATTTTATGCCAACTCATATTTTATTTTGTACAATAATTCTCCACTTCAGAGCCTCGCAGTGCACCTGTCAGAACTCGCGGTACACCTGTTGAGAACCGCTGGTCCAGATATTGTTAGCTCATAAACATATGAAGCCGGAAATGGAATTTTCAGGCCACTACAGGCATTAGGTTCTCTTGTCCATATGGAATAATAAGAAGAAAAGAGAACTGCTCTTGAAGAGAACGAGAGAATTATTCCTCTGTGTGATACTGTTCACATAAACCTGTCACGTTTAGGTTCTAACGGCGGTCACTATGATGACTATAGTCTTACAGAACGTGACGTGGTACAGCCTGGCATATCGTTACCAACGTTTCGGAAGGATGTGGTACTTCCGTCTCCAGGCTAGAACAACATCATTGACGCACAATATTCTTTGGAAACTTTGGTAATTATCTACCAGACCGCACGAAGAAAATGGAATGCTGGATGGAGAGCAGACAGGTTTCTTGTTACATCGGTTTAGTGACTGCAGGACGGAGAACCAAACTTCCTAGATATTGTAAAGGACAGTAATGCTATTCATCTTATAAATGTGGTTGCATGAATGTACCACAACTTGAATTGACTGACTTCAAGTAATTCTACAAAGCAATGCGACTACCAGCACTCGATGCCAGCGCTTCACTTCCTAAATGATAACGGAGCGGAAGAGTTTCACAAGTTTATTGTGTATAAAAACTTGGTTATACTTGTATTACCTAAAATTTGTTTGGATAGAGGTTCATTTACTGGCCAAAAACGGAAATAAAATATGATTATATTTCATTGTCTTTATTATCGTTTCTTAAAAAAATACATATATAATACAATTACATTTGTGATTTTCTCGATATTTTAGTATTTATTTATTTATTTACATATCGCACCAATTATAAACTAAAATTAAGCACATTTTATACAAATATTGTGGTATGTAGAATGTACTTTAAGATTGCCAATGCAACATATCCCTCCTAAACATAAGTCAGATATGCTAAGCAATACGAGTATTTGGACTTCTCATTGATCCTTTGCGGACTGAATTGAATTCTCTTTGTCCAACAAAGCACAGTCCAGTCGTATTGAAAATGATCAAAAATAAGTTATTATATCAAGTATTTGATGATGATGTACTATATTGTTGGAAGTCTATCTCTTCCAGTCGCATTTAAATATCTCGTTATCATGGCCGCTTTTCCTCTACTGTTCGTACCATTTTTGTAATTAATATACTCAGCAAAACGGAACTAAACTTTGTTCTATCATGAACAGACTCTCAGGTCTAAAAGACATGAACTTGATATGTTCTGCACATCTTAGTGAATACGATCACACCCTGTATTTAATGATATTTTAATGCATAAGTTTTCATTAAGTAAGTGCATTCTTGTTTGTGCAGTACTTCCCATGTTTCGGTCCATTAAAAGGGCTCTGAAATTGTTTGGCACAAAGATTACAAGTTTAATACAGCTATTAAATTTAATAACTTCTAGCTTCAATAAAATAATTGAGGGAATCTGAATTTTATTCTTAATTTCTGAAGACTGAATATTGAATATAGTGTAATAACAAAAAAGTATTATGAGCGAAATAATTACTTCCTTCTTCATGGTAAACATTTCCTTTATTTGGAGCAATGAATATTCTATGGATCCAGCAATAGTGGATTTGCTGTCATTTTATGGTTATAAATATTTCCTTAACAGGCACCATGAATATTACTAGCAATCAACTGATGCAACTTAGGCCTATGTTAAGCGTTTGAATGAATGAATGTATAAGGGGTGGTCCTTCTCGGCCCTTGCACCGCGATCTATATTTTAAGCATTTACTTTTCGCTTAGTGGGGGATGGAGTCCAATTGGGTCCACTCGGCACGGCGGCCACTGATTGGCTTATTGTAGCCTGCCCCTGGTGATTATGATGATGGAGAATTTGGTGGAATGAAGATTGACAGGCGATACCGAAGTAATCGGAGAAAACCCGCCCCAGCGCCACTTTGTCCACCACAAGTCCCACTTGACCAGACCCGAGATCGAACCCGGGCCGCCGCGGTGGGAAGGCAGCAACTAACTGCTTGAGCTATGGCGCGACCAAGCATTTATTTTACTCATGTATTACATATAATGAATTTGGTATGGGATTGTCACAAGAAGTATCACATTTTAATTTAGAACAATGCTGTATTGAAATGTTAGACAGTTCATAATATATAGCATTTGATATATATTAATGGTTATAGATAGGATACCAGACAACGTCTCTTCATCTGTGTTCATATCAAACATCTGTAAATCACATATTACTCCATTTGTTTCACCAGATGTCTCTGATCACAATAGCTGAGAGCTCCTACGTTAATCTCAACTTGTCTTGTGACGAGTTCACTACATTCGAAGTGTTCTCTTCATTCCTAATTAATGTAATTGAGCACAATTTCCTTACCCATTTTACTGCATAAAGTTTCCTGAATGTGAATGACAGTACAATGTTACTCAGTAACAATGATGTGACGCAGTCAGCAACCAAGAGAAGTATCCACTTGCCGAGCAGCAGATGCCGTACGGATCGAAAAATGAAACGGTTTCCACACTAAATCCACTTGAGAAATGCGAGTTTCATTTTCATTAGCGCTCTGCAGAGGTTCCACTCATCAATTACTCCAAAAGAACTAAGTCTTTGCAGATTAAACGAAAGGAGGATTTCAGGAATAAAATTATTATTCAGTTTCTATAGTTGGAATTGTTGGAAGGACTGGATTTATTATTAGAAATACGTAACAGTTCTTTCTGTGAATCCTGATATTTTGCTTGTCGCAAAGAACGCAATAACATTTGAACTATTTCGGATTCTCCTGCCACTCATTTACTTATCGATTATTGGTAGACACGAATTTCTCTCACTGGTTTTAAATATTGAAATACAGCCGTGGGTGCACCAGAAACCGAATTCAGAAGAAAATACCTGAAGAGTTCACAGGTTGCTGTTGGTAATACTGACATGAATCAGTTGTACATTTACGTCTAACTACTTTATGTATTGAGTTAAACGTAATTATAAATGAGAGAGACTTAACAAACCGTTGCTGAGTTCTTGTTTTTCACGTTTATATGAATATTAAAAAGAAATATAAAAGTGGGGATTAGTGTAAGTCCACCTTTCTAAAGAAGTTCCAAATATATTGATTCGTATCCTTTAAAATTGATAGAATAATTTTGAAATTATACATCTGTATGTTTCTTACACATAAAAGTTGTACAAATCCTTACGGAATGTGAAATGTAAGTAATCACATCGTAGGTTTCAAATCTGCTACAACTTTGAGTCCATGAGACAGAATAATTGAAGCCTATGTTCTGTCACGTTAAAGACGAATCTTAAATAGTTAAACCATACCTTGTAGCTATAAAGGCTTTTTACATGATAGACCCTAGGAGAAATTGCGATGTGATGGTGAAGATAGCCAAGGTGGGTCGTTGCGTCTGTCCTCTTGATTGAGTGGACGGTTGATGTGGCAGTCTCGAGTAATGGACCACAGAGTGCACTACTAATAGGGGAAATGTTTTGTTAGGAGACCTATGCTCTCCATACCAACCACGATCCGGGAGCACTTTTAGTATCTCAGCGGCAATGCTTTTAAATGGTATTATAGTTCATATCTTGTCGCCACTTCAAATTACACTGCATAATTATCACCACATTTGCAGAGAGATCTATATTCTTTGGAACGAAATCGTCTGATCTCTGGAAATTGTGTATCGTCCAACAGTTATGGATAATATGAACAATACTCTGAGTATAACAAGTACTCTGAGTGATAATATCTTTGTAGATAAACTTGTATCGTGTAGAGAGATCCCTGTATCTCGACTTATTTCATAGTCTTTTGTCATTTACGCTCCCACACTGACTTGCGTCTCCCTGAGGCAAAGCCACGCTTAGAGTTCTTCATCTTTGTGTAAAGTTCATCGGGTAGCAACACAAGTTATTACATCTGATCGAAATGCTCGGTCATCTCTAGATGAGGGTGACGAAAGATTCAGCCTACAAATGGGAATTGTGGGTATGGTGCTGGGAAGTATCCTGGAAATGCTGGTGCTGAAGGTTGAACGGGAACCGAAGCTGTGACGTATGTAGTTAAGACAGTTGGTACGACTTTTGTGGACAGGAGAGTGGTGTACGCAGTCTTTGCTCCAAACGTCAATTTGAGCACTTTGCTGTTGGTCTCTGTCACTAGTGTCTGTGTCACAACAGGAGTCGAAGTAAGGGCAAACTGATGCTGCGGGGGAAAGAGGGGATTAAGCTGGTTCACTGGGGGAACCGGAATTGCTGGCAACGTGCTGGTTCCATATTCGTATTCCGTTTTGCTGACTGTCGCCACTGGACGGGAAATGGTGCTGTAACTTGTAGACGCTCCATTTATGACTGGTAGCACATGCGACTCGTATACCGTCTCCAATTTCAGCACTGGTCTCGAAGTGGTAATAACTTGCGGGATAGCTGCAGCAGCTGCAGGATTTAGGAGTCGCAACAAAGCTAATTGTTGAAGTTGTTCAGGACTCAGAGCAGGATTCGGAGGAGATTCTGTTGAAGTGCTAGGTTTCGAGGCTGTAGACTGAGCTTTCTTAAGTCTGATATGACCTTCGGGGATGTGGGTCTTATCGACATCGGACAGATCGAAATCCGAGCCAATGTTTGCCAAATCGATATCAGGTTGTAACGCTCTCAGAGCCGCCGGTTTTTCATCGTCGTCCTGATTGTCATTGTCGCCGAACTCCAGCTCCAGGTGTAATTCAGAACCTGCCTCCTCAAGGTGCGTGTTGAATTCGTTGAGGGTCTTACTGGGCACAAAGTGATACACCTCCATTGGCGGCAGGGTTTTGGTAGCTGTGACGAGCCGTGTCACGTGATACGACTGTACCAGGGTGTACTTGATTGTATCATTGCCGCCGCGAATCACAGGAAGAATGTGTGTCTTGAGGAGAAGCTGCGTGGTACTGAAGGTCTCGGTTAGGGTTTCTAGTGGCGGCGTCTCAGCGTCACCCGCTAGTCCAATGGGAGGAAGAGTGGCGATACTGGAGTCTAGAGGCAGGTTATTGTCCTTCTCGTAACCGGGCGCTATAGTGCTGGCGAGAATGTTCTCGGTCAGAGGCTCCGTAGCGCTGGGACTGATTACAGATGGACTCTCCGTGTTCTCCAGGCTCTTTTCAATTGTTGACGTTACTGTGATGAACCGAGTGTTCTTCACTGTTCCAACCTGAAACCAACACATGCTCGTGTATATTAAGATTTCAATCGTGTTGAATATGGATAGCAATATAATTTAAATATCTAAGTGTAAATAAATGAAGAATGCCGTCTTCTGGGATGTGTCGCCATAAAAACTTCAAACCTTAGAAAGTGTAAACAAAGTTTATGCATTCCTATAAAAACGAACAGTCGAATAGGTTTGTGTAGCGGTAACGCCCTAAGCTTGCCTTAAAAATATGCCAGAAGGATAATATAATTGGATTAAAGACTGTTCGATCTCCTCTGTGGTCTAGTAGTCACAGTTACTGTCTAAAATCCAGAGGTCCGGGTTCGATTCCCGGCGTTGCCAGATTTTCTGAGAAGTAATGTGTCTGGAACGGGGTCAACGTAGCCTCATGAAACAATTTAGGATATATTTCAAGGAAACAGCGGCTCCTGTCTAGGAAACCTAAATAAACGGCCGTGGGGATTCGTTGAGCTGACCACGTGACAACCTCTATCCGCTAAAGTTGGCACTAACTCCGCCTACAAGCGGCGGTCGCTCGGTCGGTATAGTTCACTTGCGGACTAAAACCACGGAGGCTAAAGGCTATTCTGGATGAAGCTGTCTGTTAGTTTATTTAGTCACTCTAGACAAATGTCAGCACATGTAACTAGGCCCTGACCGTTTCCTCCAGATCCTAACGTACACATATTTAATAGTATCTCCACATCTTCTTATGCGGTAACTGCCATTCAGTTGAAACTCGGTCAATCACATTTCATGCGTCGTTAGGAATATAATTAAAATATGCAAGTCTGATTGACTATATGAGAGTATGCAATAATTGAATGAACTGAATTTTTTATTTATAATGAAAATAGCTGTAAACATTGATGTACAACATTGCTCTACCTCAAATTGGACAATAATGATCCTCAGTGTTTATTTTTTATTTCTTTATGTTCTGTTATTTGGGTTTTCATAATCTTTCCTACATGATCGCGTGTTGTATTCAAGAGGAAACACGTTTCAAGGATCAGGAATTTAGCAAAACAGATCTGCTCTAACATTTCCGTTGCACGATAACAGGCAAAGTCTGCGCGTGTAACTGTTAATTAACACTCGCTTTATGATACGTGGATTTTAAGTACATATTTCGACACTACTATGTTACGAGGTGGCTAATTAACTTAATGAAGCAAAATCGTAATTGAGATGCTGACAGTTGCTTAGATTATTAAGAAATCCCCCTTTTAGAAACCCAACGCTCATTTCTGTGTTTATAGAAGTCCGTCGCTGGACCGTGTCTTATACCATACACTCATACCGTATTAATTCAGTATACGCCTCAGTATCATCCTCCCATCTGTTCGATTTTTATTAACATATAAATTGCATATTTAAAATATACCCTCTATTTTATGGAGTAATAAGCAAATTTGCTCTAAGTGGGTGTCTTGAGTACAGAAATCATCCATTGATGATACTTTTATAGGCCCTGTAGTGGAATTATAATGGCTTTAGCTTTCTTTATTGGCGTGATTTGGTAGGTCAGCAGGCCACTGTCCCCTCAATATTCTTCTTGGGGCTCATAAATTGCTTCTTTACTTCAAGAACTTTAGGGTTTAATAAACAGAGAAAGGAATTTCGGAGAAGAGTGTATTTTTCAACATTATATAATGGTGACAAATATTGACGGAAAACGTGGAATGATATTCAAATGCAGCTAAGTACAGCTGAATACAAGTCGAGTTTCTGATGTATAAATGAAATGTAGCAAACAGAAAAGTAAGAGAACATAAAACGCAGACGTAAGATTACTTATCTCGCTACAAGCAAAATTAAAGAGACAGATAACAAGAAAAGAGACTGCGCAATATAAACAACAGTCTCTATTAAAATATCAGTTGAATTAGAGATAACGTGTAGACAGAATGGAATAAGACATAAAAAGTTAAAGCTATCGCTTTAACAGGCCGTGAAGGCCCATTGGGTTGTGAGACGTTGAGGCTCCTACATCTTCTAGACATTTGGTTCACAGATGGCGGTGAAGTTGTCAGCCTTATGCATCGGCCAACACTTAACTCCCCCCACCCCTGCTGGAAGATTTCTGGTACTCATTTCTGTCACAGACTGAGTCGACCTCAGGACCATAGTTCGGCTGGAAGGATTAGGTAAATTTAAAAATCCAATGACCTCTTCGGGAATCGAATCCGCGACTTTCCGGCTTGTAGCAAAGTGCCTCAACCAACTATCGACCACGAGGCATATTCACTTAAATGATATTCACATATGCTGATAAACGAAATAGATGTAGGAAGACTCGAAATAGACATGAGTGAGCTCAACTTCTGAAAAGAAGATTTAATTCTTGAAGGGAAGGAGGAGATATTACGTAATCTGGTGGGAATATTTATATGAATATTACGTATGATTCTGTATAATTCGAATAAGTGGATTAGCATATATTTCACGTTAAACAAATGATGCAGTGTCCTAATTTCTTAATTATATTTCTCTCATTCTGTCCTCTAACTGCAGAGCGATATAATACCGTACTCAAGACGCCACTTCCCTTAGCAGAAAGTCCAGTGCACATATGAGGGTAACATGTTATTAAGCTCTATAAGTTCACTCTCCTGGCCGGTCACGGTAGCCGAGCGGTCTAAGGCATGCACTGTCGTTGCTCCCTCGGAAGCCGGGATCGTGGGTTCGAATCCCACTCAGGGCATGGATGTTTGTGTGCGTTTATCTCTGTTTGTGTACAGGTAGAGGCCTTGCGACGAGCTGATCACCCGCCCAAGGAGTCCTACCGTATGTCCAAGATCTAGAAAAACCGAAGTGAACGGAGAAGTTCATGGAGGTAGGCCTAGGCCCACTGGGGCTGTAATGCCAAGGAAAAAAAAAGTTCACTGTCCAAGATTCTCTCTCCTCTCGCTCCCGCTTTGGAGCATAGGGCTGATTTCTCAGTTTCTTGATCATTTTACAGACGGTAGGACTCCTGGACGGGTGATCAGCTCGTCGCAAGGCTTCTACCTAAACACAGGACACAAACACAGAAAAACGCATACACACACACACACCAAACATCCATGCCCTGAGTGGGATTTGAACCCACGATCCCGGCCTCCGAATGAGCGAAGACAGAAGACCGCTTGACTTCTGTGACCGGCTCGCTGTGTAAGTCATGAATATTAAGTGTAGCGTACATTAGAATTACAGCTTATTAATTGAAAAGCCTACCTGGAAAGTATATGGAGACTTTATAGTTGCAATTTCGTAGTACGTGTCTCTGAAATCCGCCGGTGTTGATATTTCAACTTTGATTGTCTCCGCCACTGGAGGTGGTTGTTCAGAGTCATCGTTTTTCACAGAGGTAACTCCCACATCAGACCCTGTAGGCTCCTGATCGGGGTCATCTGACCTGGCTCTAAGTTCGGAAGGTGTCGGGTTAAACTGAGGCTGAGGTTGCTGTGTTGTCGTCAGCGTCACATTATCGTACAACACAGCCTCGTCTTCATTCTGCTTTCTGATATTAACCCTCGGTTTTGGCGTTGTCTTGTACTGCCATCTGCCGGGTGGCCTTGCCAACTTGAATTTGTACAGACTGGTGCTAGTAGAGGTCGGGTCCACAGAGGAAGACTGCACTCTAGGCTTGTACCCTCTGCGGGTGTAGCTGTTGTCGTTATTGGCTGTGTTGCTGCTGGGCCGGAAGCCGCTCTTACGCTGCGAGGACTGCGGGAGGAATCGCCTTCCGCCGGAAGGCGTCGCAGAGAGAGAGTCGCTGAATACAGATACCGTGGCCAGTTCGGGAGTGCTGGACACGCGGCCAAACCGGTTGTTGCTGCAAGAAGTAGTAGTCACTAATAAACTGATAAACAATTTGACTGACGAAGTGACAAACACGTTAATATACGGAGTGAATGGTTTACTGATTCGCTGAGTGGCCTATAAGCCTGACTATGAAAATACCCCCTATTTTCTACAACGAAAGAAAACAAGTTTTAATTTAATTGAATATATCATTTAGTTCTGGGCGTCGTAAGCGGAAAGAAATATAAACTATTAAGAAATAATAAATTACAAATTTAATATCTTAAGATATACTAGATATTTTTACAAACATCATTAGAATTAGCAATTAGAACTCCTCATTATCATATGTTTAATATTTATTCCTATCGATCAATGAGCAGGTCCTCACGCTTGTTCTTCGCTTGCGGATTCTTTCTTCTATTTTCTTCTACCCTGAAGATGGAGGCGATACGTTCCTCCGAAACGCCACACCCCAGAAGACTGCTTTCTTCACGATGTAAAGTAATTCCCTGTCTACGCCCTGTGTACTTATTCGTACCCTCAGAACTATAGCCTGTCATAAATGTACCAGTACGTACTGCCGACGGAAAAATAATGATTCAGTTACGTTGCATCACAGCCTCAATAAGAATTTTATTGAAGTAAATAATTGATAGGAATATCCATTGTAAAATAACAATGCAGATATGTAAGATATACGAAACAAACTCCTTGGTTTTAGTCTGCAAGCGAACTATAGCGACCGAGCGACCGACGCTTGTCGGCGAAGTTAGTACAATTTTTTTTTCGGATAGAGGTTGCCACGTGGTCAGCGCAACGAATGCCTACGGCCGTTAATTTCATTTTTGTTTTAGACCGGAGTCTCTATTTCCTTCAGATAGCTCCTCCATTACCTCACGAGGCTGAGAGGACCCCGCTCCAGACCCACAACTTCTCAGAAAATATGGTAACGCCGGGAATTGAACCCGGACCTCTGGATCTGTAGCCAGGAACTCTGACCACTGACTTCAGAGGATATACAGGATGAATAAAAAGTCAATTTACTACTTAGTAAAATATGCAATAAAATACGTTAGAAATTACTTCATTACGTACTGAATTTACAATTTACAGTGAACTCCTCCATGTTTATTGCACAGCTCACTACACTGTGATACTGTTCTACAAATTGACTGTCAGGTTTAAATTTAAATATTCCCGTTAATTCTTGGGAATATTTTGGGTTAATTGACTTTTGTGCCATCTGTATTTCAAAATATCTATTTTTTTTCTTTTTCGATTGGAATAATTTATATATTGAGCGTATATTTAATTCACGATATCTAAGACCGTATTTCGCACAACACCCTATCCCCGGCCTCTTTTGAATCAACGTCTAACATAGGTCGCAAAACAGTGGCTTCAATTACGTCTTTGTATCTTTCAGCACAGCGACAGCTATAAATCAATGATGTAACACGGTGAAGAGAGACACCAAAAACTGATGCCGGAAGCAGCGTCATCAGTAGCAGTAGTCATCAGTAGTCGTTGCAGCTGAAGTATGTTAGTATCACCAGGACGCCGATTTGTGGCAGCTGAGGTAAGTGATTTCAGAATTTCATAATTTATATTACTTACTTACTTTCTTATGGAGCTGGGCCCTTCTTGAGGAGCTGCCAAATCTGCAGCAACTAAAGAATTTCCCAGCATTTTATGAACCCGAAGGTTGATTACCATGTTCACAAGAGCCCTCCACTGGTCCCTATCATGAGTCAGACCAATCCAATCCTGTCTTAAGATCCATTTTAATATTGCCCACCCACCTACGTCTTGTTCTTCCCAGTGGTCTCTTTCATTCTGGTTTTCCCACCAATATCCTATATGCATGACTCTTCTCCATCATTCGTACTACATGTCCTGCCCATCTCATCCACCTTGACATTATCATTCTAATTATACGTGGACGAGAGTACAAGTTATAAAGCTCTTCATAATGCAGTTTTCTCCAACCTCCTGCCACTTCATCTCTCTTCGGTCCAAATATTCTCAACGCCTGTTCTCAAACACCCTCAGTCTATGTTCCATCCTTAATGTCAGGGACCAAGTTTCACACCCATACAGAACCACAGGCAAAATTAGAGTTTTGTATATTCTAATTTTTATGTTTTTGGAGAGCAGATGAGAAGACAATAGGTTCTGCACTCAATAGTAGTAAGCATTACCCGAGTTCAATCTTCTCTTAATTTCCACCTGAATCAGATTTTTGATCTGTTATCATCGTTCCCAAATATCTGAACTGTGCCACATTTTCAAAACATCTGTTTCCTATCTTTATGTCATGATTTTGCCCTGTATTTTGGTGACGAGACAGCAACATATATTTAGTTTTCTCTGTGTTTACTTCTAGACCAACCTCTTTACTTGCGGCAATTAAAGTTTGTGTGTTTTTCTTTATGGTATCTATATTATCACTCGGTAGATTCATAGACAAACAGCTGATTCGTAATTTATATTATCAATATTAAATAAACCATTGAAACTGAACATTCCAGTTATCTCGTCTGAACTGTTGAACGTGCTTATATCTCCAGCTTGGGCCGCGCCGTAGCTCAAACGGTTAGTCGCTGACTTCCCACCGCGGCGGCCCGGGCTCGATCCCGTGTCTGGTCAAGTGGGATTTGTGGTGGACAAAGTGGCGCTGGGGCAGGTTATCTCCGAGTACTTCGGTTTCCCTTGCCAATCTTCATTCCACCAATTGCTCCACAATCACCCTCACCTATCATCTGGGGCTGGTACAATAGGCCAGTAGTGGCCGCAGTAAAGGGACTTAGTCCCACCCCACTAGCAATAAAAAAAATATATCTCTTGCTTAGAGATCGTGATCAAAATGAAGTGTATGAGAACAATATACTATAGCACATGAGACAAGAAACGTACGCATTCTTGGAGGATGACTTGAATGAAGATCTGATTGACTGCGTGGGCTTCACGGCTCCAGCTCTGGATGACGCCTTCCTGCTGCTAGATGGCGTTGTAATGAAGTCTTCTTCCTCTTCCTCGTATTCTTCTCCCAATTCTTGCTCGCGGTTGTCCTGGGGCTCTCGACCACGTCCTCGATGGAACCGACTGTGCAAACTGTTCTTCGGCGGCGTGAGTCCTCCGGGTCTTCGCGAAGATTTTATGAAATTCGAACTAGGTGCGGAGCTGAAGAGGGCTTCCAGGGGCAATGCGACTGTCTCTTCATATAGGGATCCGGCAGGAGTCGGCTCCAAATGAGCAGAGCCCCTGGACTTTCCTAAGACAGGCGCGGCTGTCTTCAGGATTCTCAGTGAGGATGAAGGAGTTGGTTTTGGCTTCCCGTGATGTGCCTGGAAGATACGGGAGGTGCTCTGCAGAACCTGTGCATACTTCCCTGAGATGTAAGTCCCGATGACGCTGGTCTCGTGCACCGTGGTCACTCCCTCCTTGACCACAGTTCCTCCGAGCGTAGTTACGAGGCCCGTAGGTTGTGACTGCTCTCCACCCCCCCGTGTCGCTTTGTTGCCGTGATGACTGGTGATTACATTAACTTTGCTTCGAATGTCGGACTGGCGGGGTTTTAGGTGAAATTTCGAGCTTGGTCTCAGATTTATCACCTGCAGAGTACATTTTAATAAATTAACACAAGGGTTGAAGCCTTGTCTGAAGATAGTAGTAGGAAATGGGTTCAGAGATCAAAGAAGAAGTGAATATCTTAAACAGGAATTACAAATTAGCATTAATACAGACAGAATTTCCGTGTACTTAAATACCTGGAAGGAAATTTCTGTAAAGAAGACGTTAGATCTTATCCAAAAAAAAAATTATTTCTGTAACGTGGATAATAAGAAAATTTGAATTTTGAGAAGACATATAAAAGGATAGATTGTACGAAGGAGATTTTAATGAGAAGGATAGGGCTATTTAGCGTTACTATGCAAGATCTTAGTGAATTAAACAAATATTTACTCTATATGAAAATAAACAAAAGTCATATGTATTAAACCATCATCAGAAAATCAATCGTTTTCTCTATAATTGCCATACAATGTATCAGCCACTGCAACACACAATCAGGAAATAACTGCGTCAAACAAAACATGATACTAACTGCAGAATAAACTTTCCCGTCCAGACCGAATAATTGCCAATTTAGTGTTAATTTGTTTATTTTGAGTGCAGCCAGTACGATTCAGGAATGAAGTTCCAGCTGAGAATTGATTTAGACCTGTTTCGCCAGGACACTGGGGGAATGGTGACGGCCAGTGTAGTAGAGAAACACGGGGAAATGAAAGTTTTCCATTCATAATATTTCCATCGCTTCTCACATGGACTGCCCTGAGACTGAACCCTGGCATATGAGATGAGAACACGTGTCCGACCTTTTAAACCGAGGCACGTCCTCTAGTTTAACAAAACCACAAACACTTCTTAGTATTGTCTTGTTTTTTGGTTTATTCAACTCTAATGGTGTTGATCAAGAAGTGAGAGGGAGTTCATGGATGCTACATTGCAAAGTCACACTCAAATGCATGGATGTCTGTACGTTTATTCTGTGTTTGTGTTATCCTGTGTTTAGGTGGCGGCCTTGCGACGGGCTGATCCTCGTCCAAGGAGTCCCACCGTCTCTGAAGATGACTACGAAATTGAAGAAGAGGTCAGGTGCCAATAGAGGGCTGTAGACACATTGATGAATGAATGAATGAATGAATGAATGAATGAATGAATGACATTGCCAAGTATCTTGTAAGAAGTTATTGTTGCCCATTTAGACGTTTGTCATCAGAGAATGAAGAAACCCATTAAGTTACTCAGGCGGAGTATCTAGGTCCAGAATCGAACCATAGACCACCTAAATCCGAGACAATACTAATCTCCAAAATGTCAGTTTGTTAAAACAAGAATGATTGGATGCACTTCTCAATTTGAGCTTCATGTAACACTGATTTAAATCTAAACAAATTTACCATCAGATAGAGTACAGTGTTAGATAAAAATTAAGATTTTTTTAAGTCTACGGAATAATTTCGAAATCAACTAATACACCCAGACATATATTATCCCTCCATTGTGAGGCAGTTTTTGGAAATGACGGATAAAGCGTTGGCCTTCTGTTCGGCAACAACCCAAAACTAGTTGAGGACACGTGGTTGTTACCTCGACCTGGAACATGATTGTGAACTTTGCTGTCTGAGTACATTGATACCGGAGAGAGGGATTCTGGAGTGAGTTGGGGAGAAGACTGAGTGAAGAGAACATTCTTCTGGGATATGCAGTCCGGTAGAAGTTCACGGACGTTTCGGAGGAATACACTGCCTCGATATTCAGGTGCTGCCTGCTTCTCGCTATTTCCTTGATTGGTTTACAGGATCACCCTGCAGATATATATACGTATCACTAGCTGTATTGTCCCCTTGGGCCCTAGCCTCTGATTTTCAGTTTCATGATCATTTTACAGACGGTACGACTCCTTAGACGAACAATCAGCTCGTCGCAAGGCCTCTTCCTAAACACAGGACAACACAATCAGAATAAACACATACCAAACGTTCATGCCTTGTGTGGGATTCGAACCCACGATCCCGGCTTCCAAGCGAGCGAAGGTTACCGTGATCGGCCCACCATGAAAATAGAACAGCATATTTCTCTGAAACCTCTGTGAACTTCTGCCAGAGTAAAAACATGAGAGAAGACATCCCGACGTGAGAACCTCATATTCAGTTGTAGACTGGACGACTCGTTGACAACAGAAAAACCCCAGCCCTAACATCGGAAATCGAACCCGCAGACGGTAAGTTTACGTCCTCTATATTTAACCCAATAGTGCCCATATCGATTAGGTCGATGCTAAAAATAAAAATAATTCTATAATACTAATTTTTGCATATGTTGCTTTATAAGATCTTTATAGTTGCTTTATAACATATCCGTTAAGGTTGATACGAAATAAACTAGATAACTACGTATGAACATGATGTTTTACATAGGAAGGATAAAAAACAAAAAATCGAAAGGGATTTTTAAAGTAGAATCTATGAAGACAAAATACGCCAGGAAGTTCTAAGAACGTTTGCTGCATGCAGAGTTTCGAAAGGGATTAGAATGTAATTAATGAAATGAAAAGCAATTAAAAATATATTTAAGCATATATATTGAAGCATGACATTCATCTAATTAATATTTAAGAACTCTTTTTCTACGTCATATAAAACAATGGCTTGATTACAAAGATCAGTTGATTATTATTTTTTTCTTTTGGCACTACAGCCCCAGTGGGCCTAGGCCTATCTCCATTAACTTCTCCTTTCACTAATATTATTTAGGAATGTAATCAAAATGCTTTCTGAGTATATCTGAGGATCGTAGGAAACACACATAACGCGATCTGTGACTAATATGCAAGGTCTTCGAATTTTAAACCATATATTACACACAGATGCCACTGCACTTTCATGAGTAAATTAATTTTAAATGTTGCTTTGGTTCATTTTGCAAAGTGGAAGGCTTCTAAATGCTGTTTTGAAATCAAGAATTGCTGTGCGGGGAGATGTATATTATTGTGGGGAATTTTATAACTCACGAATACAATTCCTTACGTGATGTAATAATGTTGAAAAGCGAAATAGCTAATCTTGGGTGTTCGGGTAAGTTGATGACCCGGCTACTGCATAATAATTACGTCTCTGCTATTACAACATTAGGAACAGCAACGTATATCTTAGCGCAGAATATAGCTACCCAAGATTCATATTATCTTCAGGCACTTTCTGAGCCTCTCTTAGCTTCGCGCATGGATTCACCGCGTGTAACAAGACTTTAGGTAACTTTGTTTTGTATTTATGTGTACATCTCTCTTTTGCAACTGACGAAGGTCTCGTTTCTCAAAGCTATATACGTGATATTGTGTTCTGAAAATTCTGCCCCTAGCCTCTGTGTTGGGGAGCCATATTGTGTACATTGAAAAGTATGGAGGTCCCGTCTACACAGCTACTCAATTATATACAATTATATATATATATTTCGTTTATTTCACTACATGCTTCGGCCCAATTGGCCATTGTAAGGCTAGTTACACATTCATCGTCCACACAATTCTTGTTACTACATATTGGCCAATGTGTATAATTGTAATCTATGTCTCTATGTCTCAATAATTATTACGGTTTCACTAAAACTATTTATTTGTGGCCTTTATTAACACATACATTACAACCGTAAACAATGTTCATTGTTGATTAACAACAGTTAACTGAACAATAAACGTAGAACCAGCCTGATAATATGGAATAGCTAGTGAAATAGGTGAAGTGTATATAACTGATTTTGTACCTCGTTCAGTTGATGGAACCTTACACCTTGAACGTTTTCTCTTGTGATTGTTGTACGCAGCGGAAATAATTAGAAATTGATTGCTGAACAGTTAATAACACTGATAGTTTATTTTCCTTTTTCCCCCTTGGTTTGGTGCTGTATGCGCGATAAGAAACGGGGTCAATATTTGGACCATTAGCCTTAGCTGTTCATGTCCCCAATTTAACACCACATTCTTTAATCTCGCTACGTGTTTCGGTTCAATGGGCCATCTTCTGTTGATATATTGTAACGCTTATACACGCCGAAGCTTTAAACTATCAGTGTCCTTGAGTCCTGCATGTATGAAAATAGCATGAAGATGCAAAATGAACAGTTAAATAAAACATATGAAATGATCCCTGGCGATTATTTTGCTGTTCCTAAACAGTGACATGGCCGGTCACGGTAGCCGAGCGGTCTAAGGCATGCACTGTCTTCGCTCGCTCGGAAGCTGGGATCGTGGGTTCGAATCCCATTCAGGGCGTGGATGTTTGTGTGCGTTTTTCTGTGTTTGTGTACAGGTAGAGGCCTTGTGACAAGCTGATCACCCGCCCAAGGAGTCCTACCGTATGTCTAAGATCTAGTAAACCGAAGTGAAACGGAGAGTTTCATGGAGGTAGGCCTAGGCCCAAATGAGGGCTGTAGCGCCAATGAAAAAAAAACAGTGACATGTCTTAATTAGTAATTCTGACAGACAATTTACTGTTTGCGTATAATAGTTTTCGTGATGAAAGCGTTTCTATGTCCCATGAATTCAGCAGCTTTCGACCTTTATTGAAATATTCTTTAGTATTAGAACAAAGTTATTAAAATCGATAACTTAATAGATCATATTCACTGAATTAAATTTTTAAACTTGTGGGTTTGTATATTGCAAAGATGAGATCAGTTAACTCGGACTATATGCGTCAAAGTATTAAATGAAACTGAATAATGAATTGTAAAGGATTTGGAGAGAAGTTGTTGTTACATAATTTAAGGAGCTATCCAAGAATTTGCTTAGAGAGAATAAGGGAAAGTGCTAATAACCTCGGTTAAGATACTTGGTGTCATGGCCGAGATTCGAATAATTCTCCCTTTAGATACAGGCATGAGGAGATACCGCTTAAGCCAGCCTATGAGGTTTAAATACAGTGTACGGGAAACTGTCATATCCTGACGCCGTTACGGCAGCTGCTCACGTCATCCTAGCGAATACAAAAATGCAGTTTTCAAATTCAGGGTTGGTATAGTTGATTCTGTGATCCGTGTAGCAAGTTCTAGAGCAGAAGGAATTTCGGTGAGACCATTATCGTGGTTAATAATTATTATAAGAATAACATTAATTATTATATTTTCTTTTCCTTGGCACTACAGCCCCAGTGGGCCTAGGCCTACCTCCATGAACTTCTCCGTTCACTTCGGTTTTTCTAGATCTTACACGTTCGCTAGGACTCCTTGGGCGGGTGATCAACTCGTCGCAAGGCCTCTACCTGTACACAAACACAGAAAAACGCACACACACAAACTAAACATCCATGCCCTGAGTGGGATTCGAGCCCACGATCCCGGTTTCCAAGCGAGCGAAGACAGTACATGCCTTAGACCGCTCAGCTACCGTGACCGGCTTAATTATTAAATGCCAATTCAAATACTAAAAGTGATAAAATTCCTCGTGTTAAAATTGTATAGATGTATGAATATTATGAAATAGGCCATGTCCATCTCCTTCAAAAACATTGCTTAAAGAAAAAGGTAAAGCTATCCCTGTAACAGGCAGTGCTGGCCTATAGGGTTCTGAGATGTCGAGGCTGCCACATTTCCTAGAAAATCGGCTCACAATTGGCGGTGAGGTTGTCAGAATTACACGCCGTCCGCCCTTTACCCTGCAGGAAGATTCCTGGTACTCATTTCTGTTAGAGGCCGAGTCGACCCCATGGCCATAGTGCGGCTGGAAGGATTAGGTAAATTGAAAATTGCAATTACCTCATGGGAAATTAACCATTTATGATATTTCCGTCTCTTTCCGTTCCACTATATAATTTAACAAGCCTGCGTAATTGGTAATACTTCTGAGTCGTATTCTAAAGTGCCTGGTTCCTATCTCGGCCAGTACACCGACTATCCTTATTCAGGTTTTTCGTGGTCTTTCTTATCCCCTACAAGCAAATGCCCTGATGATATCTCAGAGCACTTATTTTCACATCATTTCCAAATTCATCATTCAGTGTCTTACATTCATTCGACTTTATGCAGGATGAATTACAATACTGACAGCATCGTTAAATACAAATAAATAAAACAGAACACGTGTAAGCTCTCCGGCTGATAAAAGGCATCATCATCGAAAAACATAATCATCGGTGATCTTGAATTCATGGAACAAATATGCTTACCTTATAGGTCTCATCTACGACCTCGGACGGTTGTCTAGACAAGAAGTCGTATTCTGGCTCCACGATGTTGTTGCCGGATAAGGCAGGCTCCTCGCTGCTAGACCTCACTTCCACCACACTCGAGAAAATGGTGGGCACTTCGTTGTGATGATCCTGGTGATTTTCCACCGCTGTCACTGAAGGCGGGATATCACCTCCGACAACCTCCACATGGCTGAACAAGATCTTCGACGGACTCGCCTTCACTTCTACCACGCTGCTTGGTCCTTTGTGTACCTCCACTTTTGCCGATGGTTCCTTCGCATTAGAAACAGCGGATGTACCGCCTCTAACTTCTACCTTACTGGAGAGCACAGACGATGTTCCCCCACGAATCTGAACTGCACTTGAAGAACCTCCCTTCATTTCAACAATACTGGACGGTCCCTGGTTAACATTCACCACACTCGACGGCGACCCACCTCCACGAACCTCAACTACGCTGGAGAATATGGTAGCAGGAGTCCCAGCCTTCACCTCAACATTTGATGTTAATCTCTTGTTGCTAGGAGCGTTTCCCGACTGAGAAGTAGAGCCTTTGTTTTCTGAAAATTTCCCTGTTGTTTTACTTGGTTTTATCTCTAATACTGGTGGCGCAGAAGTCGAAGTTAGTTTTATAGGTTTGGTTTCTATGGCTGAAGATGTGGCAGCGGCAGTTTTCTTGCCGCCATCTGCAGAGAGGAAAACAGTCATATAATGAGCAAATAATTGGTATGTTATGGTGCATAAATGACACAAAATCTTCTAAGATATAAAAGTTTGTGATGATGGTAAATTGTTACAATTAATATGTTGCTGGACATCATCCATCATCTTGTCTGTTCTTAAAAAACCGTCTAGTTTCTATTAAAAACACAACGTTTCGGGAAATGGAATCTGTCCCCGTCTTCAGGTAAAACCTACTCAGTTGAGTCCAATAGACAGAGCTAGCCCCTATCTCCGGACCTATGTACCAGGTCCATACTGGTTATGCAAATAAGATCTAAAAGTTTGTGATGATGGTAAATTGTTACAATTAATATGTTGCTGGACATTATGGAGACAGGGGCTAGCTCTGTCTATTGGACCCAACTGAGTAGGTTTTACCTGAAAACGGGGACAGATTCCAGTTCCCGAAACGTTGTGTTTTTAATAGAAACTAGACGGTTTTTTAGAACAGACAAAATGATGGATAATGTCCAGCAACATATTAATTGTAAAAAATCTTCTGTTTAGTTTGAACGCCTAAGTACCATGACGTATGTATTCTTCACATTTTACATTTTATTTCAAATACCCGAAGGCGGAAAATCCTGTTTTCTCTCCTTCCGACACCCGTGCCTGAGCTGATGTTACTCATTATTTCTTATAAGAAGACGTGAAGAAATGGGCACAATTTTAATACTAAAGTCTAGCAGAGAACTAAAGATTAGATAATTTTTCTCTCCCGTGTCAGAATTGGTATTTTTCGGACGATATGGCAATGACATTTATTTAACTTGCATACCTGCTAATGCACTCTGAGGAGAGAAGACCATTACGGTGTTGCCAATGGTTGTAGTGAAGTCAAGGAACCCATAGACAGTTTGTGTGAGAAGCTCCACCGCTTCATTCTGTTGCTGTTGAATCGTAACGGACTGCGCAGCCGCCACTTCTGGATTCACATACACGGGACCACCCGATGGCGTGTATACCGCGCCATTGCATCTGCACCACACTGCAACACAGTTATTAACATTAGATTCTGAGGACATCGACAGAAGAACGGCTCTAAAGAACTTGCGTCCCACATCTTTAGGTTATAAGGACGAGGCAGCCTTGTCTACTGAGCAACCCTAATCTTAAGCCAGACTGCACGGCGTCACATCCCAGAAGACAGTATTCTTCAGTCATTACAGCGAGAACTTTAAATCTTGTTGGAAAGATTATAGTAAACGGAAAAAGGTGGCAAGGGCATTTAGACGAGATTAGAATCAGTTCCGAAAGGTTGTGTATGTTATATATATACGTGTATATCACAAGATAAGCAATGTTCAATATGTTGGGGAAATGAGATTCGGCGAGAGAGCTGATCTATGAATTCTAACACACATACAACCAACAAACAAACTCCGTGGTTTTAGTCCGCAACCGAACTATACCGACCGAGCGACCGCCGCTTGTCGGTTATGTTAATGTCAACTTCAGCGGATAGAGGGTGTCGCGTCGTCAGCGCAACGAATCCCCACGGCCATTAATTTCGGTTTTCTAGACCGGAGCCGCTACTTTTCCATTCAAGCAGATCCTCAATTATCCTCACGAGGCGGATTCTAACACACATACTCTGTACAGAAAGCTATAATTAGGTTTTGTTTAATAATTATTAAGTTATGAATCCTGCTAGTCGTATAAGAAAGTCGAGATTAACGGCCGTGGGGATCCGTTGTGCTGACCACGCGACGCCCTCTATCCGCTAAAGCTGGCACTAACTTCGCCGACAAGCGGCGGTCGCTCGGTCGGTATAGTTCGTTTGTGGACTAAAGTCACGGAGTTTGTGTGCTAGTCGTATCAGCTAAGTAAACATCTGAAATTCTTTATGGACCATCTCATTTCAATACTATGCTTCATACAGGCCTACATATAATCAAATTATTTCATTCTGTTATTTTATTCTCTATTACTATTTATGTTCTTTTAAATTCGCTTAATTGGCTGATTGTGAAAATAACAGTGTTACCAACGAGATATGTCGCCTTCAACCGGTGTCTTTTCTCTGTACGTTTTTTGTGTTACATTATCACTGAGAAGAAACCTGTACTGCCATCTCTCAGCTATTTTACTTAACCAGTCTGCAGTATCTCGCAACTGGATCTATAAGGTTTATTTTTGCTGAATATCTCATCACGTAAAGTAAAACCTTCGGTCTGCTGCGACTGTGGCTCTTAAAAATGTAACAACAAGCGCTTATCTTATTGACACCTGTTTGATTTCTTGTATTATTGTAAAGTAAAGTCAGGGAGAAACCCGGTCACGGTAGCCGAGTGGTCTAAGGCATGCACTGTCTTCGCTCGCTCGGAAGCCGGGATCGTGGGTTCGAATCCCACTCAGGGCATGGATGTTTGTGTGCGTTTTTCTGTGTTTGTCTACAGGTAAAGGCCTTGTGACGAGCTGATCACTCGCCCAAGGAGTCCTACCGAATGTGTAAGATCTAGTAAACCGAAGTGAAACGGAGAGTTTCATGGCGGTAGGCCTAGGCCAAATTTGGGCTGTAGCGCCACAGAAAAAAATAAGTCAGGGAGAAAGTTGGGAGCGGTTACCAAACCCTTGGCGAAACAGATGCACTTTCAGTGGCAACAAATGTACCATGATCCTTAGTATTGACGTTTTCGTTATTTTTGTCCATGTATAATTGGAATATTTTCAACAAGGCGCAACTTTGTACCTACGGATACGTATACACTTGCTCCTGGTACAGCGTGATTAGGACAAAGTCGAAGAGTGGGATGTAACGAATTTTAATTTGTCAGAAGTCCACCAACGTTTCGGAGGAACATATCCACTTGAAAGGTTTTAAGACAAAATCAAGGAAGAAATCGGCTAGAAACAAGCCTTTTCTTGAAAATACTCATATATTTGGAAAACTTGTATACTTTAGAGTGGATAATGCCTTTCCATACTTGTATTTCACAATCATAAATAGATGTAGGTACATCTTTCTTACACCAGAACTCTACAGTCACAAGCGAGAATTTGGGTCGGCACAAGCGAAATATCAACAGATATCACGTCAAGAAACAAAAACCAACACAAAGCAAAGCCTAAATTACTACCTACACCAGAACTAAGCACAAAGGAGACAGTGAATGGTCCATCCATGCTCTTGACCCCTCACGTTCGTGCCCTAACACTCCTTGAAATAAAATCATGACGTCATACTCTTTCAACTCTATTGTTGTCACATATGTTCCTTGTATTATTAAAAATTTTGTATTGATGTACACGAATTATACTTAATCGCCTTCTGTTGTAGCCTTTGAATGCTGTTTTGTGAAAACGTGGAGCGCAGCTCCTTCTTCTCAAGGTTACGTTTTCAGACGAGACATTTACATGCCAGTACTTCAGTTACCATGAATATCTTTTGTAATTTTGACAGTATGAAGCACTATTTTGTTATTTTGTCTTAATAACCTTGATATTTTGTGTTAAGCATTTATCACGTGAGTAACTGAAAACTGTAAGCCTTTCGGGCACTTAACGTATCATATGTGATACTTTAAGTGCTTTTCACCAGCAGCCTGTTCAACCGAAAGTGTTCGAGTCGTTAGAATTGCTGCTTTGTTTTCACAGAGGTCTCGGTCTCAAATGTCAATCCGAAGGGCGAATATCTTGACTGAGACATTTCTCATATACCTCAGTCCTGTCAGATAAATGCAGGGCTAGGGCCAAAAATTGTATCAGCTTCCTTTCCAATTCATTTTCAGTTAGTCATTTCATGATATATATAATCCTGGAAATTGAAAGCATAATTGAATAGACTAAAAATAGACATACTTACTTACTCATGAAGCTGAGCCCTTCTTGAGGAGCCGCCAATTCTGCAGCTACTCAAGAATTTCCCAGCATTTTATGGAACCCGAAGGTTCATTACCGTGTTCACAAGAGCCCTCCACTGGTCCCTATCCTGAGCCAGATTTATCCAATCCATACCATCCCATGTATCTCTCTAAGATCCATTATAATATTGTCCACCCACCTACGCCTTGGTCTTCCCAGTGGTCTCTTTCCTTCTGGCTTTCCCACCAATATCCTATACGCATTCCTCGTCTCCCCCATTCGTGCTACATGACCTGCCCACCTCATCCTCCTTGACTTGATCATTCTAATTATACTTGGAGAAGAGTACAAGTTATGAAGCTCCTCATTATGCAGTTTTGTCCAACCTCCTGTGATTTCATCTCTCTTTGGTCCAAATATTCTCCTCAAAACCCTGTTCTCAAACACCCTGTCTATGTTCCTCCCTTAAAGTCAGAGACCAAACTTCACACCCATGCAGAACCAGAGGCAAAATTATAGTTTTGTATATTCTAATTTTTATGTTTTTGGACAACAGACGAGAAGACAAAAGGTTCTGGACTGAATGGTAGCAAGCATTACCCAAGTTCAATCGCGTGGGGCTAACAACTCCTCACCGTAAAAAATTAGTATATTACGAAAATGAAAAATAGACATAGATATTGTTAAAAAAAACTAGTTCTCGAGCTGAGGAATGTAGATCACTCAGAGAATTCAAAACTTGTATGATCTCTGAGTGTGATTATCTAATATCATTTTTATACAGCTCAGTTTCATGCGGTAGTATAGTTGGTTGAACCACTATGCTACAAGCCAGAAGGTCGCGGATTCAAGTCCTGATGAGGTCATTTGATTTTTTTCAATTGATCTAATCCTTCCAGCCGCACTATGGCCTTGGGGTCGACTCAGTCTCTAACAGAAATGAGTTCCAGGAATATTCTTGGGGGTAAAGGGCGGCCGGCGCGTTGAGCTGACAATCTTGCCGCCATCTATGAGGCGATTGTCTAGGTCTAGAAAATGTGGGAACCTCAACACCTCACAATCCTATGGGCCTCTACGGCCTGTTACAGGGATACCTTTACTTTTTACTTTACAATTTCATTATTATATTTACGTAATTTCTGGACGTTACATATTTCCCTACTCTTCCCGCCACATGGCTTGTTCAGATAATTGTATCCGTGAAAAAAGAACGTGAGATTTCATCAGAAGTAATTCCGTTAAGACAGATTTGAGGTTCTGACGGCTTGACAATGAAAAGTACTATTACCTGCTTCACTTCTAGTAGAAGTTTACTGGCTTTTCGGCTGTGATTATTGCCCACGTCCTCAGGGTTTAAATTTGAGCCAAGCAAACTACCAAGAAGAACGAACAAACAAGCACCGTCCTACTTATACTGAGCTACACAGTGTCAAAGAGAGAACAGAGTATCCTTCTAGTTTCCTTGAAGTGGAAGAATACTAATTAATCGAAAAAAAAACAGTTCACTAGTATCAGGTGTTATGTTCACAGTTGCTGAACACCGAGCACAAAACTGGATGGAATTTGGCCACCTTCTCCAAAAAGTTCAGACTTCGAATGTATATCAGATTTCCTGGTTATTTCTGCACATTGTTATTCTGGACATCCACAAAACGATTGGAGATACGGAACGTGAGCGGCTTCATCACGAATGTCGTATATAGAACGCACTCCAGAAGGCACTGTTCACAAACTCACATAAATTTCATTTGTTAGTTAGTGCAGTAGTCCAGAATGTACAATATAGTTCAGTACTGTTGTTATTATTCGGCTTTGTGTCCACAGATAAAGCTAACTTGGAAGGAATACAAATCTAACGATTTTTTTTCCTGAGATTTGATAATGAAGTTATGGATATGAAACCTAAATTAACCTAAATTATATTTAAAAATTTAGTAGATTCCTAACATAGATCGTACTGAATTCCTAATACAAATGTCAGTCACTTACTGCTGTTTCGACAACTAATTTCTGTTTATTCTGAGAATTCTGCGAAGTTCATTTGTAAATTGCGAGGTTAAAATTCATAGTTATTTAATATTGTCACGTATCCTGGTAACGCGACAAGTAATTAGTGTGTTCTCTGGATTTAAAAATCGATTTATTGGACGTTTACAAGCCGGATCTACAAATACTTATAACACT